GTTGATGTTGGGGGTATGCCATTTTGCCGGCTGCCCCACTGTTGTGTAGACCACTGTGGACAATACCTGCCAACTCGAATAAAACATTAAACTTAAATACTTAGCATTTGTTTATTATATATAGGTCTTTGATAATACCGCATATTTGAGTTCATCTCATAATATGCGTCGTTATCTAAGCTCTATATATCCTTTGATTATATGTCATCATTCACCTCCTTTTTGTGAAAAATTAATAAATGAGATAAGCCGGAATTTATTTATCCATCCATGCAGTGTCAGTACGTAGTTACTAGGTTTACGGGTTATCTCCCCTTTTCTATGCATCAATGAAAGTGAAAGGTGGGTGATGAAAGTATCCGATTTATTTTTCTGTATTATGAAATACCCTCCCACCTCAACCCTTGAGCTAGGTGTTAAGTATTACTCTTTCTCCTTTTGTTTGTTTAATTTACGTATACATTGTTTTTCATGGGTTAGGTATAGCCAATTTATTAAAGTTATGGAAATTTTATTGAGAATCTTTTTCTGCTGTGTGGTTTTGTTTTTGTCTTTTCAGGTATTAAGAGATTTCGTTGAAGGAGACTGACGGTGCTGATCAGGATTGCCCGCTATTTCCGTTTTCTAGGACCTTTGGAATGATCTCTGACCAAATACCATGCGTGACAGGTGTCAACTTGGCGATTTATCCATGATTTCAAGGAGCTCGGGGAAAGACAGTAGACTATACTTCACAGTGGTCGTATTGGCGAAATCGTCACCTTCAATTTAACCATTGAACTGTTGATTTTGTTGACTTTTTGTGGTTGATGTTGATATAAGTGATGATTGATGTTGATATATGTGATGTTGACTTTGAAAATTATATCTTATATAATGTAAATCTAAAGCAAAATAATATAATTAAAAGACAATTTGTGTTGAAATGTGTCCGTAGCACGAATGAGGTCAACCCAGCGTGCTACTTTTCCCGTCAGGGAGGGCACAACTTATGTTGATGTTGGGGGTATGCCATTTTGCCGGCTGCCCCACTGTTGTGTAGACCACTGTGGACAATACCTGCCAACTCGAATAAAACATTAAACTTAAATACTTAGCATTTGTTTATTATATATAGGTCTTTGATAAATACTAGGTAACATACGCAATGTATTGATAAATATGATTATTTCTGAATAAACCTTCGATTCAGCTCAACATTTACATATATTGACAACGTATAGTCAATAAACATTGGTGACTTTCATACTGATGTCGATGCGATATTCATATCGAGCTCATAGTAAAAGATATCACAGAGTTCGACACATCTTTTTCACATTCAGATATTTTTCTTGACGGTAATGGTTATCTAACAACCAAGTTATTTGATAAACGGGATGTCTTTACTTTTTCAATCGTTATCTTTCCTTACTTATGCAGCAATATACCTTCATCACCTGCATAGAGGGTTTTTATCTCTCCGTTGAGCATATTCTTTGTAACTATGAACAATTCCTAAAACGAGGTAAATTATTGATACACAAAGTGCTAAAGCATGAATATCTGCAGTCTCGTTTAAAGTCATTTCGTAAGTTCTATTGTCGATACAATGACTTTGTCAGCAAATGTAATTTATCATAAGTCAGATGGTGACTGATGTTTCTCATACTAATTGTTAGATTATTTACACAATGAATTGTCAAAGGCGTTTTTATTGCATACGGCCATGACAAGGAGAACAAGGTGGTTATGACAAGTTGTTGGGGATATTCACTCCTCCATGTCACATTATCCCTACTCTGATACTTTGGAGGTCGGTATTTATGTAGGTGATGAAGTTATATTGCTGCACAAATGAAGGAAGTTGACGATTGAAAAGTGAAAGTCATCATGTTTATCATAAAACTTTTTTTTTAATTTACCATAAACTTCTTTTTCAAATAATATATATTTAAATATGAAACGAACAGCTGTAGTTGCTTGCTTTACTGTTTCCAAACTTCTTTTCCCTTCATACCATTTCCGCACTCTAGTAATTTTCTTCTATAAATATCGTTCCAATATTTGACTAATTTGATTCACCTCGTTCCATTTTTGCACTCAAACTTCCGGTTAATTAAGATTTATCTATTTAAGCATCCCCAACAGGATATTTTCTTTTAGACATGTAATGGCAAAGGCCATGAAGTTTGAATTGGCTTGGTGTTTACAACAAGAACTACGATTGTGGGTTTTCACGTTGACACATGGATTTTCCATGTTATTTCTAATAAAAGCATCTTGCATAATTTTCTTTTATCAGCGAGAAAAGAAGAAAAGATGGATTGATTTTAATTAAAAAAATTATACATCAATAATTTTATAGCTATCCCGTGTTAGAGTGTTTTTTTTGCAATCCGCTGAGTAGACAAGAGTAACAATGAAGCAAATTGACTGGTATTCTCTTTAAATTGATGTTAAAAATGAGTAAAAATCCTTATATTCATTTGCATTATTGACGTTTTGATGAAGACGTGGTTCCTATGTAGACAAAATGTAAGATCCCCCTGATGCTCATTAATTTCGTCCCAAACATTAAAATATAATGAATGCATAGAATTTTGGAAATCAATGCTCTAAAAGAATTGTTTTCTTAGAATAAAATTTTCGCGGAAGAGTTTGGAATAAGGTTTCAAGAGAATACGATTTCGTGAAAGTGTTGAGCTTTCAACATTAAAAATTTTACGTTTCGTTAATCATTAATAGTATGGATTTGTGGGTATTTTCTACCACAGCATTAAAAAATATGCAAATCCCACGAAAAAATTGTTAATTCACAGTATGCATGAATATTCACTATCTTAAGATCTAAATTAACCATATATAATTCCCCTCAGATGAAAACCTGGAATGTGTTGACAATGACCATACGTTTCTGTCAGGTGAAATGTGATTCACATTCTCTAAGCTCATAGCGGTGATCACTGTCATAGCCCTAGCATCCTTCGCTCCTTGAATATTCCAAATAAGAATCGAAGAAAGTGTTAAACTGCATTTCTATCGACGATTTTATTTCTTGCGAGCGCTGGGATTTTAGGTTGTGAACTAGTATTTTGCAAATGGAAATATATCAAAGGTTAAAATTTACAGTGAGAAAATTTAGTGTCATTTATTTTTTGAAATTAAAAATCTTACACAATGTTTGGGACTAATAAAAAAACAATCAAATATCTTTAGAAATAATTTGTTTTAAAAAGAGAATATGTTAAACTTCCCCACATGTGCACCGAAAGGAAAATACACATGTACAGACCAATGATATTTATTAGCATCTTTACTTAGAATAAAAATATGTGTTATTTGTTTCAGATCTATTAAATGTGATGTCAGTTTCATGATAAAAGCATGATTGATCTTGTTCCCGTTTGGGTCTCAGCATTGCGAAATACTATTACGATATGCCACATTCTAAATCTCAACGGTCTGTTCCAGGATTTGGTAATATTTATCATCACACATTTTAAAGTCATTGTGGATTAAGAACTGATAAAAGACAATTGACATCTATTATCCAGGCCTCAAATTTCAACGTTAAGTAATGCAGTTTGTCTCATCTTTGAGGGATCTGTATCATGTTAGAAATCAATAGTCAGTAAATTTCCTTCTAAATACGTAAGAATTTAAGAAAAATAAAAGGTTTTGCGCATGTTCTCTTCCCAAAATTAAGAAAATCAATAAATATAAAAGATTCCAGGTCTTATTTGGTAATTTTGGAACATTTCTTTTCTTGTGCTGAACCTATAAAGTGGAAATTATTTAAAACATTTAACTTCTGAAGAAGCTAATGTATTAAAGTCGCAATAGTCTTGGAAATATCATATGTTCGTCTAGAAATTGATAAGCTATTAAATGAATATATAATATTTTCATAGACATCTTTTGCCAATTGCTTGAATGAAATATGGTGATAACAAACAGCAAGCAAGCTCCAAAGAGTATTAAAACAATACAAATATTAAAAAGAGCAAGACTTAAAAAACACCAGAGGTAGGATAAGATGCCATGGAAATGAAAGCATCCTTTATCGATCAGTCATATCCGCCGTTTAATCACTGTCGTGATCATTCGGTTGAAGGGGATAAAATTTGTAGAAAATTCAGTGTGCAAATAATGGACTACTTAACGTCAATCAGAATGCGACTTACATGTAATGATAGATGTAATTGCTGATTATGTCATTGCATATAACGACCATAGAATTTACAGAATTATGACTTAGAACAAAACTCTCAATAGCCTTGTTCCATCAACTAGTTCATCAGGGCTGTGTCACGCAATTTGAAATAATATGCAATGTGAAAAAATGTTTAAAGTGTGTTTAAACTGGGACAAAATCAACGCACTTTGAAAAAGTCATGGTGCATTTAGTGTTCATCAACATTTTTGCCTTGGGTACACTTAATGCACTTTGAAAAAAAGTATGTATAAAACAAAAATCACGGACTTAAATTTCAGTCACAGAGAGCAGTATTTTTAATACTTTTACAACTTTGTAATAAATATGTCAACAGACAAAAGCAAAAGGTTGTTCGGTTAATCGGAGCACGCACTCTTCGAAAATAAGGAGATTTGCCGGTCATTTTGAATTCTGTCGGTCATTTCTCACTGATATGGTGTTCTGTTTCAAAATAAAAGCCCACAATCTTCTTACAGTCCGATAAACCATGATACCTCTACAGGAATCTGTGTCCGTTTAAAAAACCCTTGGTGTGCGATTTATCATATTGCGTCAACTGTAAAACAAGCAGCAATGCTATCGATTTCCAGGGACACTATATATAGTCACTTTTCATAGATAGAACGGAGAAAAGTTTTAGCGGTTATTAGTCTCATACCTACGCAAGTTTTCGTCCATTAAGTTTTAATTGTTATACATATGCAAGTTTTCAACATTAAGTTTAAATTGTTATTTTTCCATTCCATTTACCTAAAGTGTGTATAAAATTGCTTTGAGACGTATTGTCAGGTATATTTTAAAAATGGAACCTGATTTTACAATGATTTACGATTATTTTGTGGACAAATTCGATAACAAAACTTTAAAAACTTTATTTGAAAACAACGACAGCTCTGTTTCCCGACATTTCGACGGAGACGAGCACCTGTCCAGGACCCTGGGACTGGGAATAAGTTTCGGAATTCTCGGGATTTTATCCTTGTGTTTCAATTCTCTAATATGCGGCATCATCATCCGGAACAAAACTTTCCACACTGTCACCAACATATTTTTGGCCAACATGGCGATGTCGGACATTTTGTTGGTATCCATCAACGTTCCACTGAACATTATTCGTAATGTTACCTACGAATGGAATTTAGGAGTCGTTCTTTGCAAAGCCTTGACATATTCTTTGATGATCTCGTCTTATGTATCTAGTTTTACTCTTACAGCTATTGCTTTTGACAGACAGAGAGTTCTACTGCACCCGCTGAAACCGAGGATGACTAAACAGAAAGGGGTAGGTGTTATCTTTGTCATCTGGGCGGTATCTATCACTCTTGCTTTACCGTACGGACTTTTCAATTCTGTCAAAGATATGGACATTTTTGTTATGAAAGTTAAAAGATGTCGTTCGGACTTTCCGAAATCAAGTGTAATGTGGGAACAATATTTAACTATTTTTACCATTCTCGCTCAGTATATTATCCCGTTATTTTTCATTGGCGTAGCCTATATGAGGGTTATTCATAAGTTATGGATGAGGAACCAGCTAGGATACGTAACAGAGGACCAGAGAATAAGACAAATTCGCGCCAAAAGAAAGAGCATCAAGCTTCTGATCGGGGTCGTTGTGGTGTTTGCTGTCTGCTGGATGCCACTTAACCTGTACCACGTCCTGACGGACCTTCATCCCAATACCGAGACATTTAAATACGACAGTCTGGCTTTCTTTATCTGTCTCTGGGTGGCAGTAAGTAGCACGTGCATTAACCCTTTTCTTTATTGTTGGATAAATCCACGGTTTCGAAATAAGATCGTCAGCAAAAAGTCATGTTGCTACAAAAAAGCAGAAGTTGCTGTGACGTCGGAAGAAATGGAGGATCTCACAAGTTCCCCGGATACAAACACCCAAGAGACTAATATTAGCAAATTTCCAGTATTTTCATTTTTGAAACTGAAGTTGGACAATAAGTCCGTATTCGGTTGAGATATCTTATTTTGAAAATAGATTATTAAATAAATAAATATTTCTGCCATGGAAGTCATTTATGAATAATGGTGAATTTTAAAGTAGTTAGTAAAATGTATTAAAAAGTTGATTAAATTTATGGAATAAAATAAATGTAGTTTTTGTATTAGTAAAAAAAAAAATAAATCAAATCATTAATTGGCACAAACACAGTTACAGTTATTGGTTAAGGCCCTCATAGAACATAACAATAAGCATGATAATGCTGTGTCTTCTACCTATTCCCACTTTTTAAAAATCTCAATTCCACCTATTTTCACTTGGGAGTGGGAATAGGTAGAATGAACCGATAATACAATAGAACACAACTAAAATACAAATAATTGGTGTAGCAAATAATGTAGTGTACTCATTCATAACAAATGTAGTTACTCATTGATTTGTAGCTAAAACATTTTTTCTTATATCAGATACTAGTATACAGAAAAAAAATAAAGATTATATTTCAAGAACCCTTTTACAACTAGTTTTCATACAGATTTTAACAAATTGTCATAATTATGGATTGTTTGGTTTAAATTAGGGAAAGTAGATAATTTTGTTTTCAATATTTTTCTCTGTGCTTCATATTTCGGACAGAGCAAAATGAAATGTTTTTCATCCTCAATATTTAGGTTTTGACATACTTTACACAACCTATCATAGTTATTGATTTCAACATATCTACCTTTTTCAATTTCTAAATTATGTGCACTTTACCTAATTCATGGTAAAAAGGACCTATAATGCAGAGACTTAATTGAGGAGTTCATAATACTACATGTAGCATTTTGTTCCTGTAATATCTGATCCTGAATGCGTTGCTTAACGATGCAAAGCACTGGTTTCAATGACATATTATTAAATTGCGTATAAACACTTATTTCTTCTTGTTCTTTTCTCTTCTAGTTATTTTGATGCTAAATGTGTGAAGAAAAAAAATATCATGCTCTGTAATTAGGTGATTGTGAATCATTGGTTTGGTACATTAGAAGAAAGATAAAAAGATTTGTAACATTTAAATACATCTTAAGCAAGAAGAAAATGACCAGACTCTTAAATATTTTGACTTAACATTTGAGTTGAAGAAGAATCAGTAACAAAAAGTATCATGCTCTGTAATTAGGTGATTGGGAGTCATTGGTATGGTACATTAGAAAAAAGATAAAAAGATCTGTAACGTTTAAATAAATCTTAAGCAAGAAGAAAATGACCAGACTCTTAAATATTTTTACTTAACATTTGAATTTAATTGGTTATTTTTTATTGATAAAACATCATCAATTAACTAACAGAATATTGAAATATAAGCCATTAAAAAGGTTTTATTTACTTTAAAAAAATCTGCTTCATCAGAAAAAAAGTTGATTGGGAAATAAAAATAAAAAACTTTGTCAATAAGGAACTCTTGCATCTTATTAAAATTACCCAATGGAAAGGATGATCAGAAAATTCAGAACGCTTTTGTTTCTTTGTTTGTTTAACGTCCCTTTAAAACTGTTTCCTCGGTTTAACATTTTTTGTGCTAGAATCTATTGCGACACGGGAATTCGGTTAAAACGTATGGTCTTATTGAAAGACTGATCTCCATGTTTTTTGGGATTCGAACCGCAAATTAAAGAATATTTCCTCGCATCAAGAGCACATGCCGCCATCAATGCGACTGAGCAGATCGTAATTTTGCAGGTGACCAATCACATGAAAAGAAAGTTTATATCTAATTGATTTTTGAAAATGGATGTGACTTTTTATTTTCCAAATGTACATTTGAGTTTTAGAAAATTCACATTTTCACAGATGTAAAAGAAAAAAAAACACACGTCAAATCGAAAATTGCCAAAAAAAAAAAAAAAAAAAAAAAAAAAAAAAATTTCTAAAGTGGCCATCCAACGGCAAACGCTGGCGTTAACCCATGTAGAAATTGGTGCACTCTTCCCTTTTTCGCACGAAAAAAAATTGAATGCGACAAATATGCAATAAGGTAAGTTTTCAGGAAGAATTTTTTAATACAATTCCAGCAGGAGTGCGTTCTACGTATGAAAAAATCACTCAAAAACGAAGCAAACATCATTGTCATATTTTTGAACTCTTTGTTATTGGAAGAATAAATTGTTTTCATTTTAAAGATGGAAGCAAAACGATTCCTGATATAATAAATCGTTATCAATAAAAAAGAAGGGAGATATCAAATGTGTGTAATTGGAATCTGAAATCAAATCTGGAAATATTGATGTATTCTTCACTGTCCGTTAATTGGAAGTATAATGAAGTATTTTGCAGAAATTATTTCTTGAGATTTATACAACATGTTAAGATTCTCATGAGAAAAAAATCAATCGTGGCATTTTGACTTGGAGATATTATTTAGGAGAAATATTTGTACAGAGTGCAATCTAATTGATGTATCCGTTTTTATTCTTAAAAAAGAAAATAAGGAATATTTTATATTGGGTTTAAATCTTTAACGAACTATTTATAACGGAATTGCTAGTTTTCTCTTTAATTTATAAGGTATTGTTTGTGGTTTTAAGTCCATTAGTTACTCACTGAATTGACGTCGGATTTTCCATTGTTTCCCGATCATGACAAGGAGCACACGGCGGGTGCGACCAGTCGGGAAGGGGTGCTCACTCCTCCATGGCACTTGATCCCACCTCTGATGACTGTTCTTCATCTCCATATATTTTATTGATAAATGAATGATTATAAATTTGTAGCGATTGGAATAATGAAAATATACCTGGTATAACTATGAAAATATATATTCATTATTGTCAGTTAAGAATCATACCGATATTTCCCATGTTTCATTTCTATGTATGATATTCTTTCCATAATGACAACGCAAAATCAACAGATATTTGCACATCAAATTATTTGAATTTGTGTTGGAAATATTTTATTGATAATATGTCAAAGGGATTGGACACAAGATCCAAAAACGTAAAAAAAATCGTCTCTCTCTCATTTTAATTTCGTTTCAATTGATAAAGAAATTAATCATTATATCATGTGCTGTTTTACACAGTGATTTCTCTTTAAATGAATCACTATATATCACATCGATAAGAAATTTCCAAAGTCATTCTACTTTGGTAACTTGCGTACCAAGAGACAGTTCATTTCAACTCAAGTCCAAAATCTCCTCGGCTGTTGACATTCTCAACCTGAAAGATCATGTTTTACCATTCTTAGTTAAGATTATAGAGAGACATTTGATTTCTCTGTCCTGAGCGATTGTCTGATTTGACATGAAATTACTTCCAATTTATTTGCAATCCATTGTTGTGAATTTATTGGTATTCGTAATAAATATTTATCATTATGATGGCGGAAAAGTGAACAATCTATGTGATTTTCTTGCTCACTTGCTCATTCTGCTAATCAGTAATTTAGTGAATATATTGATTTTTTAAAGGAGGGAATCTTGTCTTGTTTCTGACTAAATGAAGTATTAAAAGTATGTTTGCTTATGTGTCTAACATATTAAGATGTAAGGGATTCCTTTTTCTGCAGTCTATTTCTTAAAATTCACACATAGCAATGAATTGAATTTTTAAACGATTTAAGACTAAAGGAATTTTCTAAATTGAATGAAATTAATATCAATGAAATTAAGTTTTCAGATACATCAAAGATAAAAAAATTCTGAACATTTTTTTTAGCTTTTGAAAGCTTTTGTATCTTTTATGACTACTTCACTATATGTGAAAACGAGAAAATGTTGAATAAAGGAAGCATATAATAATAACATATTCCCTGAAAAATTTATAAAAATAGAGGAAATTCAGAATATTAATAACTATTTTATTTCAATTATTTACAATGTATCTCTATTTGGAAGTATCACATTTTAATAAACACTATTTGATATTTTCTTTTTATAATAATTAAAAAAACATTTAATCTTGGATAACAAAAGGAGACATTGCTTGACTGGCATTCATTTCATTTTTAATGTTCAGAATTTTTTAAAATGACATTGACCTGACAGTCAAATTTAATCTTAGTGATAAAAGCACTTTGTTATATTGCCCATTTCAAACTGTGAAAATTCATTTTTCATTACAATGATTATCAGAAGAAAACACCTAAAACCTTAATAATTATCTTGGTTAGAGACACTGGTAACTTTGTTTATCGTATGTTCAGATACTGTTCAAACATAATCCACAAAAAATAAACCGAATTATTAAAAATAATAAGTCAAATGGTGACTGACTTTTTTTCATACCAATTGATAAGCTTTTATTTTATTAAGATTTTCCATTTATTTTTCAGTCATGACAAGGAGCAAACGGCTGGTATGACCGGTCGGCAGGGGATGCTCACTCCTCCATGGCACTTGATCCCACTTCTTATGATTTAGAGGTCCGTTGTTGATGTGCTCCTGATTTGTATTGTTTAAATGGACTTTTGAGTTTGAATAGTGTTCGTTGTTTCCATGTGTTTCGTAGAGAACAATACATGTATAGTGTTTTAATTTGCAAAATATGAATGATGATTTATTTAAGTCTTTATTTATATGACAATCTTGGTAGTTTTATCATTTAAAATGATAATTGCATAATATTCAGAACTTGTAAATAAAAAATATGGAGATAACGAACAGAATTCAAGATCAAAAGTTCATAAAACAATACAAAATTGGAGCAAAGCAAACACGGACCTCCACAACATCGGAGATGGGATCAGATGCCATGGAGGAGTGAGCATCCCCTGTCAACCGGTCACACCCGCCGTGTGCTCCTTGTCATAATCGGAAAATAACGGAAAAATCCATCGTCAATTCATTCAGTGTATAAATAATGAAGTAACGTCAGTCAGCGTTTGACTCGATTATAAATTGTATTTGCTGACAATAGAACTTACGAAATGATGACTATAAACGAGGCTGCTGATATTCTTGTTTCATTAACTTTTTTGTCAATAATTTACCCCGTTTTAGAAATTGTTCATACGTAGAGCATGCTCTTGCG